CAAAAGTTTCCTATCAAACTGACCTATAACCTAATCCAAATAAAAAAACATTGCGTTGTGTATTGACCGGATTAACTCTGAAATAAAACTAAGTAGTGGACTGGTGAAAGACATGAACGCAAATAAACATACCATTGACTGATCCAGAAAAAAATATGATTATTTATTTAACTCTTAAACATTTATTTAACTCTTAAGCAATTTATATTTTAGCAAATTTTAATCAGTTAGGGAGTAATAATTGAATAAAATAAAAGATATAATTTAACAAAAGATTTCCTTCAAAAGATTCTACAATATCAAACATCATATTGAATTCATACTGGTAAGCATAATCATTTAAAAATTTTAAAAATAATTTAAAATTGTATGATAGAATAACAATACCCTCCCCGGGGAGAAAAAAAAATATTTAACAATTTACACTTTGCAAGAGCATTCCACACAGAATCAGCAATTAATGAACTTAGTTACAGAAACAAATGATATTAAGAATGTTATTGCATATTTTAATTTTTGAAAAGAATAAACCGGGTAAAATTATTTAAGAATAAAATCAGGATTTACATCTTAACAGACAACTTATTCCAACAGCGTAGTAATGAAACTCAATTAATTGCACCTGATATTAAAACCTTAACGAAAAAAAATTACTGCTTTAATTAAATTATTTAAACTAATAATATATTTCCCTAGCCATTCTAATTAAGTTACCTTATCTAAACAATCAGAATTTTAGGAACCGCATAACAAGAAATATTTTCTTAGGTACAGAAGAAATTTAAACAACCATTAACTATTGAGAAAAGAAAATAAAATCCCTTAGCTGTCGCCTCTAGGAGGCCTGGTTGGTGAGGTGTTCATCCAAAGAATTTCTTGATTTAACAAGTCACAACTAAAAACCCAGAAGTCTTGTAGAAAAGTTCCATGAAACTATTGTCATTGAATTTCTTGAATTAGACGCGTAAAAATTACTTAAAACCCAGAAGGCTAGTAGAAAGTTCTGTGAGAGTCCATTTTTCTTGAATTTCTTGAATTAGAAGCGTCACCAGCATTGACATCGGGGGAAGAAATTTTAGTTGTCGGATAAATTCTTGACTCCTTAAGGACAGGCGCTGGAATCTGTTATCGATAATTTTTCAGCAATAGATGGCATCCTTGAAGATGGCTCTGCAACAAGTCATGAATTTTTGACGAGATTTTGGTTTTGTCTGAAGATCACTGAGCGTCGGACATAAGCCGTTGTAAAACTATTTCAGGTGGGTATTCAATCAGATAGAACATTTGAAACTTATCGATAGTAAACGCAATAAAAAATCAATGCCAAAATGAAAATTGGCAGAAGATAATTAATCAGTAGCCTTTTCTTTCGTGGGCAAGAGCCCCGTAGATCAAGCGGGAGAAACTCCACCATTTCTTCTTTTTAGCCGCTCGCAGAGCACGCGACTCTAATCCCCGAGAACAGCTTAAATCGCGGTCAAAAGTGTAAAAAGTGAAAAAGTGACCTTGTCCCTCAAAAACCACCCGTTAAAAAGTAACGTGCGGGAACACCATCTTGGCACCTCTCACGCCCCGCCAAAGGGAAAACCAGTTGCAACACCCAGCATTCCGTCATACAAACACCCTCGCCAAAACTAACCCGTTTGAAACCACAACGGATTTTTCAACTCGCCAACCAGCCACACCTAGAAGAGCGGAGAACGTGGGAATCTCAACAACCCTGGAAGAAGCCTCAGTAAAAGTGAACTGAAGAACTCAGAAAACGACCATTTTACCGGGAAAGGGAGATTTCCTCCCCCAGAATAGAAATCACAATGACAACTGTAAAAATCTATTAATTAAAAGCTCATAACTAAAATGTACTTGAAGTTAGGAAAATAAAACTTATCTCAAATTAAAGAGCTAATTTTTCTGCAACTATTGATATTAAATACTAAGAGTTTAACTTAATTTTTGACATGAAAAACTGAGTTTATTACTTGAAAATTCACCTATATCCATTGTCTGAGTGTACAAGTTTGAAGACGCAGTTCGCGTAAAACCAAATAACCCAAATTGATTGCAATAAACTAATAATGACCAAATACATTAATAAATCCAAACCTGTTGTGTAGCTAAAATTTTGAATATTTACACATGAAAATTTTGATTTCTGTGATTCATTTAATTACATTAAATTTGCTACATAACAATATTCTGACAATGATAAAATTCTAGCTTCACCTTTGCGAGTTACTCTGAAGGAAATTCTTCACTCTCTGTAATGTAGTTAATCCAGAGTTATTGTGATATGGTGAATTGGAATATTAAAAGCAAAAATTTGTGAAGAGCATTAAGTAAGAACTATGATGCCCTGTATTAATTGCTTCTTGATCCACTGATTATTAATATATCGAAAATAGTTGAAATGTAGAAAATGACGGTGTTGGAAACTGAGCCAACAACAGTTATGAAAATTTAGATATCATTTGGAAGTTATCAAAGAAAAAAAGAAGTAACTTGGTACGTAATTAATGTTCTTTCATTAATTATTACACAACATAATGTTTAATGCTCTGAAAATGATGCAATGTATAAATAAATTAATGGAGAGGAAATGGGGGAATTTTGGTTCAGTAATCGAAATTGAATCTTTTCCACTCCTCTCCCAATTGCCAGATACTTGCTCGAAAGCAGATCGTCAGATATGGTCGATCATTTGGCAGTCTCATCACCAAAAGCGATACCCTAGGTGTACAACAGCAAAAAGACCGATATTACGCTGAAGTAGAGAGGAAAGACACAATTCTATACCCAAGCGTTTCGTGATAGTCGAATTCTACACCTTGGAATTTCAAGCTAGCTGTAGCCTTTGCTAGCGACTGTATCGTCCAGACATGCAACTCGAATCCTTTTATCCATTTCTTGCACATTGTACAGTAAGTACAGCAGTCTGTTTGTTAATTAAATTAGGTTACTACAAAACACAACCCCTCCTCCGCCTCAAAAAATTAAGTGTTTGTATTGTATGGTACTGCTTTATTTTACTCATTCAAATTTAGTATACAAAGCTTTAAAATTGTGTATGTACATGTGACTTAGCTCACTTTTCTGACAGTGACGTCAGCCCAAGCCCACGAACTTCATCATGGCAAGGAGTGCGAGATTGCGCCTGTCTTTGGGGACAACCTTGAGCACCATAATGGTGACACTACGACTTCGCTAGGCTCGGCCTCCAATTTTTGATGGAGAGCCGTCCAGTGCGATGGTCCGAGGGTCTCCCACCCTCCTTTCCCTATCACCAACCTTTCGAGAGGACTTTTCCAAAAATGGAGACTATCTCCCACCAACAATAGAGGAGATAGACTTAATCATAAATGGTTTGGCAAGGAAAAAGGCACCGGGGCCGGATGGCCTAGACAATATAATACTCAAGGCATTGCATAATGAGTTTCCAGAGCTGATCCACTCAGTCTGCAAAGCATGCTGGAAAGTAGGACACTTTCCGAAAGATATGAAGCTGCAGATAGAAGCATCGCTTCCGTTTCACAAAAAGGGAAAAGATCCCTCGGATCCGACCTCCTACCGCCCGGGTAAGTCTCCTTCCCACAATTAGCAAAGTTCTAGAAAAAATCATTCTAATGAGGCTAAATTATTTCCTGAATAAAAGTTCAGTAATTAATAAAAAACAGTATGGCTTCCGTGAAGGACTATCTACGGAACAGGCAGTAGCAGATCTCCTGAAAGTGCTGAAAAAGAACAGAGAGGAAGACAATCACTCAATAGTAATATCTATTGACATAAAGGGAGCCTTCGATAATGCCTGGTGGCCTGATGTAACAAAAGAATTAGATTCAATCAACTGCCCAATTCAGATCTTAAAGTTGATAAGGAGCTACCTTGAAGACAGACAAGTTCAAGTAACTACAAACGATGGAATAATCCAGCATAAACTGGAGAAAGGCTGTCCACAGGGTTCCTGTCTAGGGCCAACCCTGTGGAACCTAGTAGCTAATTCAGCGTTCCAAATTTTTGAGATGGAGAGCGAAATACATCTGCAAGCTTTTGCGGATGATTTCCTTCTAGTAACTTCGGGAAGAAAGAATATCGAGAAAATTACACAAAATGCATTAAATAGGTTCTTAGAGTGGGCACAAACACATAAACTTACGATCTCAGCAGAAAAAACTACCATGCTATTTATAGGGCGTAAAAGAGTAATGAAAAGAAATCCTACCATTAGACTCAACGGTAGTTCAATAAAATGCTCTTCAAACATAAAATACCTAGGATTTATCCTCAACAATAATCTCTCTTGGATTCCCCACTTAAAAGAACTTAGAAAAAGATGTATCGCACTCACAAACACAATGCTACGCACAACAGGACTGCAGTGGGGAGCACCACCATGGGTGCTGGGTGCTTAAGAGGTGGTACCAAGCAATAACAGAAAGAATTGTTCTCTACGGAGTAGCGATCTGGGGAAATACACTCAACGTAAGCATGCGTAGATTACTCCTGTCCATGCAAAGGCTGCAACTCTTGCTCATCTGCAAGGGCTACAGAACTACTTCAACGACAGCTCTGAAGGTTCTAGCAGGAATTCCTCCGCTAGACCTGCAAGCGGAAAGGGAGTCGTTAATTACAAGAGTGTTAAGGCTAGGTGAGGATGGAGTTCTATGGGAACAAACCACCACTTTGCTGAAGACTTTGAAAAACACAAGCCAGTGACGCCAAGGACATCCGGCTGAAACACATCTAAAAAAAAGTGTATTCTAGGCCACTATGTGACACCAAAAGATAAACCACACAGCTATATTTGCAGATGGCTCAAAAAACCGGAGACGGGTACTGGCAGTGCCTTCTGCGTTCCAAAAGGTAATAAAAGGTGATACAGCTGTGTATAAATGGAAAAGAAGACTTGGCAGTAGGAACTCAGTATTCCAAGCTGAGCTAGCAGCACTTAAAGCAGCAATTAATTATGTGAAGAGGAACAGATTTATCCACATTACTATTTACAGTGATTCTGCCTCTAGCCTTGACGCAATCAAAGGTTACAAAAGTAGAAGCCAGTATGGCCAAGAAATTAGAAAAATCCTCCTCAGTCTTCTACCATCAGAAAGGCCATGCCTCAAGTGGGTTCCGGCTCACGTGGGCATTAAAGGCAATGAGGAAGCAGACACCTTGGCAAAAGAAGCGGCAAAGGAGGTCTCAAGAACAGAACTGCCAGATAAATTACCTAGGTCTCATCTCAAAAAGATCACTCTAAAACGACTGATAGACAGATGGCAAGCCAGATGGGACACAGTAGATACAGGAAGGAGAACGTATATGTTCTTCCCCAAAACAACGCTAGAGTTAAACTGCAATAGTGGTAGTCACAGTTTTATACAGGTCATGGCCCATTCCTGACCTATCTGCATAGATTCAGCCTGAGTGACACAGAAAGATGTTAATGTGGAGAGGTGGGGGATCCAGACCACTACGTCTTCCACTGCACAAACACGGCACAGTACCATATGAGAAAGCCAAGTCAAGCTTACTGGCCACAATGGGCGGCAAATATGAGAACAAACAAAACAGCAAATAAAAAGCTACAAGCGGTAATCAGCCATTGTCAGAGAAAGTATTCTCTAATACGACGATAAGTGTCCCCAAATAGAAATAATCAAGTGATTAGCGCTCTGAAATGTATAAATCACACTAAATCAATCTGGGCACACACCTCGAACCTCTCAACCCAAGACTGACTTAGATAATTAGGACTATGGCAACAACCTGCCTATATTCTTTATAATGTTTACTTTTGCAATTAATGTACAGGTCTAGGACTCGCAAGACCAGATCGTGCCAGTAAAATCTTCAACAGCAATGAGTATGGTTACTGAGTATGGTGCTGTACTTCAACAGCAATGAGTTTTTCCTACACTTACTAATCGTGTATTTAAATTACAAGTTTGTGATAAATAGGTTCAAGAAGGGCAAGTTCAACTTATGTTATCACCTCAAGTTTATGAATGATATTATTATTGGTATGGCATTTTTGCCTTCTTAATTTTAATAAATATTTAACTTTTTATGCAAATTTTAGGGAAGAAATATCTGTATTTATGTGATCAATTGCATGTTTGAATCTCTTCCCTAGTGATCAGCATTACATGCTTAATTATGTTTTGTATAAATTATGTGCATGTTCTAAGGTGATAAAACTAACTATGCAATTAATGTAGGTAAGTTTCTCTTTGTAATTATGTATCAGCATTATGTATTCAAGTGTTTGGAATCAGATATCAGTTTTACTGAGTATGGTGCAGTACTTTTCTGTTTATGTTCACTTTAAAGTACTCAATTCTGTATTTATTCCTTCTCTGCATGTACTATGAAGGCCAGTTCGTACTTGGCTAGGATTTAGACTACATAGCAGTACTTAATGATCAGTTTTATGTATTATGCTTATCAGTTTTATTTTTAGTTTTCATGTATTATAAATGCATTTTTAAGTGTTATGTATGCAAGCATTAGGGATCAACTATCTGTATTTCTGTACTCAGTATCATGTTAGTTTTTCACTTTAATATTCAGTTTTGTACTTATGTATGTATTATCCTGTCTGCAAGTACTACGAAAGAAAATGTAGGTGAATGGTTCAATTTGTAAAACAACTACAGTTTAAGTATGCGCAAAGAACTAAATTATGCAGGAATTTGTTATCTTAGTGATAACAGGTACTCATTCTTTTAAATGTTCTTACATAAGAGTCAGGCACATGGAAAGTAAACTGCGTTAAAATTATGTTTGGGCGCTAGTATTTTTTTAATCATCTTTTAATCTCTCTCTTTATTATTTTTTTATTTTTTATTTATTTATTTATTTCTTTAAGTTTACTATGTGCAATAATTTAATAGGTTACAACTTTCCTCCATGCAGGACCAACAATTTCACAGAAGCCCCATAAAAATATGACAGTTGTGTCAGGATAAGCACCCGCATGTAGACATTTAGCAAGTCCAGAAAATCCACGGCAGTTAATTTTTCAGGCAAAGTCCTCCTATCTTTACTTTATCTAACACAAGTTTCTGTCTATTCTAACAGCGATTCTTAACAGTCTTTTGATTGCTTCTTTGCTTAATTTTAAGTAGTTCCTAACAGGATACTCTTTCCCCGTACAACAACCTCCAAGCTTATATGTAGACTTTATGAGGCTCTTAGCCGTCTATTCGGCTGCGGATAAGCAGGATGGAGCAGAGAGTAGATGGTTTCTGCCAGGAAGATAACACACTGTGAGGCTAAGGCCAGGTCAGTGGTCTTCCTTGGTGGCGCTAACTCACTCACTCACATTATACATTTAGAAACATCCATGCCTTCTCCGGGCCGTTTTTCAGGACAGTCTTATTGGACGCTGGGAGGGTGTGCTGAACTAGACAGTTGCGGGTACCGGACGATACCCGATTTATCATAAGAAGCCGTCCGGATGTCCGGCCTTGCGTTCACCTATTCGGTAGGGCAGTCAGCATCGCTAACCGCTATCCCGGTTTTGCGGCTCTAAAATTCTTTGAATTGGAAGAATTTTACTTCACAACATCATAACATGACTTATACGAACTTTAAATCAGTTCAGTTCTCTTATACCTATTGAGATATATTTTTTATTAAAAAACCTTCATGCTGTGGCGCTAGTAATCGCTATAAATGCTTATTACAGTAGAACTCCAATTATCCGAATCAACTGAGACCAGACCACATTCGGATAATCAAAATATCGGATAACTGGATTTTTTTTCGAAGAAAGGGTCTGCGTACACCTTAATTAATTACTGTATGTTGATAATGGAAGAAAAAACTATTTTTAAAGAAAAAAGATGTTTTAATTAGTTAAAATGAAAAGGCAACACTTTTACGTACATGTTATATAGCGTACTGTACATTACTTACAAGCGCTGAAAGTCATTGCTTGCTGAACAAATCAGTCAAAGTAAGCTGTTTGACTGTCTGCATTCGTTTTCGGGCAGCCAAGTCACGCGTTCGCTTGACAAAGCGAAGTTGCATGCGGTCACACTCGGGCTGACGCTCCATCCACTTCAGCGCAGTTTCAAGTCCGGCAAACGCTTTTCTAGATTGTGGTCCCGTGTCTGCTTCAACTTCGACATTAAGGTCATCATCTTCCTCGACACTTTCTTCTCTCACACTTTCAACAAGTTCATCATTTAGAATTTAAAACCAAGGTCTGACGAATCGCACACTATCCATTCTGCAGTATCTGAACATCCAGGAAATTTTAAAGGAATGTTTCTTAATTCCTCAAGTGAAACGTCATCCTCATCTTCTCCTGTCTCTTCTCTTTCCTTTTCTGGAACTTCTTTTTCATTTTTCCCCTTTTCCTTCTCTTCTTCAGTTGATTCTGAAAACTTCTGAAAGCGATTCGGATAATCAGTGATTCGGATAGTCGAAGTTCGGATAATTGGAGTTCTACTGTATTTCCAATATATTTTCGCATTTAATCCTCGATCCTTAAATACGATTATTAAATAGTAGAATACTTTATGCAATGAAATTGGTAGTGATCAGTAACCTTTTTACCTTTTTAAAGTAATCCTTTTCAATACGTTTACTTGAGTAGATAAAGAGAAAAGGCTCTTTGACTAAAGAAACAGTATTATATAGAGAGTTAAAAGTGCTTTATTTTTTGCCTTTATTTTTGCAACCATACGTCTTAGAAATAGCTTTCTAAATAAAAAAAAAAGTTTCAAATTCAGGAAATATTCATATTAGGCAATTTTGAAATTAAGAAACACAACAGATTTTACTTCTGTGCAATAACAGTTAACTGAAATATTTAATATTAAAGATTTAAATCCTGTTTTTTGAAAATTCAGAACTCGTACAAAACCTGATGAGCGAAATGTAAAAGTTTGCATGCAAATAGATTATCGGTTGAAGAAAATTGTTCTGGCGTTAATAGACGTTCATTACTGGCAACTGTCGTTAATGTACAGTTTGCTATGAAAATTATCGATCAATGCAAATTTTTGAAAAATACATTTTATGGAGCTGACTCTTATAGAATTCCTGTAAAGAAAGATGAAATGATACACTCATATTTTATAAAATATATATAAACATGCCAGAACTGAAATAATGACACATAAGCCAACCGGTCATATTATTTGCATAAAATAGCATACAAAATGTTTACAGACGCTTTTTATTTTATTTTATTCTATTTTGTGTTTACAAGATTACAATTCTAAAGTAATAAAACTGCTTATGAGTGTTATAAACCTGTTTTAATATTTGAAAATTAATCAGTTAATTGAGAAAAAAGTATTTTGTCCTAACAAATGTAACAAAATTATGATTTATAGAAGGTTGCATAGTTAAAGAGAAAATATCATTAAATGGCATTAACCAGAAAAAAAATAATTTAAAGTGATAAAAATTGGTTTTGATTGCTAAAAAATCTAAAACATTTTCATGCTTTAAAATTTTAAATGAGCCAGTTAATTTAGCATAATTATATATCTTTATTAAATATAAACTTAAATAACGAAGGACCTTAAAAAGGCCTTTTTCTAATTTTTATACAAAACTCGTTTTTTAAGTTTAAAAATAAAAATGTATATATATATTATCGTCATTTAAATTTTTTTGTGATTAGAAAAACATTTCTTTGGCGAAAGTGTACGAAATAAAATCTCGTAAAAACCTTCGTGGGCACAGTATGACACTATAATAACTAAAAAAAAGGAAAAACATTAATACATTGCAGCTAAACACATGAAGAACAAAAAAGAAAGCAAAGCAGGGAAGCATTAAAGCTTTGCCTAGCGGAAATGAAGCTTTGAGAATTATTAAAACTCTGCTGACAAAAACAGGGCTATAGATAGCTTCCGCAATATTTCTACGTCGTAAGGCTTTAGCGTTGATTATATGTAGATAGCGTATATTGATATATCTATTGTCATCGATTTGTCTAAAAATAGCAGAATATAAGTGGAATTGTCTAAAAATGCCAGAATGGAACTTAGTTATTCATTAACTCTGCGTTTAGTTTTCAGGTTTTAAATACGGCATACGTCGTGGTATACGAGAAGTCCACCAGCGACAAAGCGGTAATGTCGCTGAATACTGATAATTCAATCTGGGAACACTGATAGTTCAGTCTGGGGTTCGAATCTCTGCGAACAGACTGTCTGCATGGGCGTTTTTATGGTTTTCCACATGTATAAAATGCATACCAGCCAGTTTCCTTTAGAAAGTATTCCACGAAGGCAGCCATTCCCTTATACGGATATCTCTCGAGTGTTTTCTCATAGTTAAATAAACAGAAACAAAAAATAGATATAACTGTCAGTAGCTGAACCTATCAACTAGCTAGTCATCACACAGAATGTTTCCTGAGGGTGCACCACATA